ATTAAAGGGTGGGAGTCCATGGTGAATACAATGGCAGAGAGAGTAGTGGGAAAGAAGGTGGTACGTTGTGGGGTATCGGTCAAGTGGTGGGATGACGAGTTGAAAGAACAAATGGGGAAGGTAGAGAAGTCTTCAAACAGTACCTGAGAGAGGCGTCTGAGGAGAGTTGGGAAAAGTACAGGGCCAAGAGAAAACAGGTGAAGGGACTAGTGAAGAAGAAGAAAAAGTGTAATTGGAATCAAGTAGTGCAGGAGGCCAACGGAGGCCTGGAGTGGAACGTCAAGCAGGTGTGGGAAGGGATTAGTGGAATGGTAATAAAGACCGCGCATGGGGGGGGTACAGGGGTAGCAACTTTGCGAGGTGTGAACGGTGGACTAGTCAGCGGTGGGAAGGAAAAAAGGAAAATTCTAGCAGGACACTGCAAGAGACTTGGAGTGCCTTCGGAGAATGAAGCTTTTGACAAAGTGTTAAAGAAGGAGGTGGACGCGTGGGCCCAGAAAGAAGAAGAGACATCGAAGGCCGACGTTGGGAACGTAGACCTAGAAAAGGAGTTCACTGAGGACGAGGTTGAGGCGTGTGTGAACAAGCTGAAGTGCCACAAAGCAGCAGGAGCGGATGGGATAGTCAACGAGTTCATGAAGTTTGGGGGGAAGGGGATGATCCAGCTGATGGTACTGCTCAACAATTGGGTTATGGAAAAACGAGTAATGCCAAGTAGATGGAGGGAAGGAGGGGTTTTGAACTTGTTTAAGAAAGGAGACAAGACTGACCCAGGAAACTACAGGGGGATCACACTGTTGAACACAGTAGGAAAAGTGTTCTGTAAGCTGCTGAACGATAGGATAGTGGGAGTATTGGAGAAGGAACATAGCATTAGTGAGGGCCAGGCAGGTTTCCGCAAGAAGAGGGGGTGCGTAGACCACGTGTTCACGGTAGGGAGAATCATCCAAGGTAGAAAGAGGGCGGGAAAGCCGACGTACTGCTTCTTCCTGGACGTGAAAAAGGCATACGACACCATATGGAGAAATGGGTTATGGAAACAACTGTCCAAGCACGGGATCAAGAGGAAAATGTGGAGAGTGCTGAAGAAGATGACAGAGTGTACGAAAAGCGCAGTTAATCTAGACGGAGAACTGTCTAAATTCTTCGACATTGAGCAGGGGGTCCCACAAGGTTGCACGCTGTCCCCA